AGAAGAAGAATAGGAGGTTACGGTATTATAGATAGTGACACACTTCTGCGTGGAGAGAGAAAGGAGGAGAACCAGGTGTGTGCAAAGGGCATTGCTTGGGCAGAAAGGCTGGTTCATCTTGCAGGGAGTAATCCATTTGCATATAGTGTGCGCACCGAGGCATAAAATATGGCAACATAGCAGCCTCCAACATGATTGTGAGCGATAGGAGATAATTAAACGAGAGAGGGAGAGGGAGGGAGGAGAAGGGAGGGAGGGAGGGAGGGAGGGAGGGAGGGAGGGAGGGAGGGAGGGAGGGAGAGGAGGGAGAAGGAGGAGGGAGGGGGGAGGGGAGAAGGAGAGAGGGAGAGGAGGGAGAAGGAGGGGGGCAGAAAGAGAGGGAGATTCAGATTCATAACGTTTATTTAGCCACAAAGATATTACTTCTTGTTTAAAATGAATAGATATGCATTGTATTGGCTGAGCCTTTGAGAGAGGGAGAGGGAAAGGGGGAGAGAGAGAGAGAGAGATAGCCAGGGAAAGGGGGGGAGAGAGAAGAGAACGAGAGAGAGAGAGAGAGACGAGAGAGAGAGAGAGAGAGGAGGGAGAGAGAGAGAGAGAGAGAGAGAGAGAGAGAGAGAGAGAGAGAGAGAGATAAATGGATGAACGGATGGATGGATAGATAGATAGATGGATAAATGGATGGATGGATGGATAGAGAGAGAGATAATGAGATAGATAGAGACAGAGATAGATAGAGATATAGAGATAGAGATAAATAGATAAATAGGTTGAGAGAGGGGAAGAAAGAAAGAGAGAGAGGGGATGGAGAAAGAGAAAATGATGATTGTGATGGTAATGATGGTGATGATGGTGGGTGGCTGGCGAGGATAATGATGATAAGAATGACATGCAGACAGAGGGGATCTTGGCAACAATGACAGCGCTACGAAGGAAACACGAAAGAAAAGAAAGGTAGAAATGGAATAATCCGATGTTTGAAGAGAAATCAGACTGGAACAGAGTGTGTCGTCACTCCTCAACTTCATGGGAGTTATTTGAACAGGCAGACACGCACGCAGACACGCCGCTTCACTGTCTGTCTGTTTGTCTGTTCTGTGTGTCTCTGTTTCTCTCTCTTCTCTCTCTCTCTCTCTCTCTCTCTCTCTCTCTCTTCTCTCTTCTCTCTCCTCTCTCCTCTCTCTCTCTCTATATTATATATATATATAATATATATATATATATTATATATCTCTCTCTCTCTCTCCCGTCTCTTCTTCTCTCTCTCTCTCTCTCTCTCTCTCTCTCTCTCTCTCTCTCTCTCTCTCTCCTCTCTCTCTCTCCTCTCTCTCTCTCTCTCTCTCCGTTCTCTCTCTCTATCTCTCTCTCTCTCTCTCTCTCTCTCTCTCTCTCTCTCTCTCTCCCTCCTCGCTCTCTCCCTCCCTCCCTCCCTCCCTCCCCCCCTCCCTCCCCCTCTCTCCTCCTCCCTCCCCTCCTTCCCTCTCCTCCCTCCTCCCTCTCTCCCTTTCCTTTTCCCTCCCTCCCTCCCTTCCCACCCCCTTCTCCCTCCCCTCCCCCCTTCATTTTGAGTAGCTGTTGCCGTTTGAAATATTGATGCTAACGGGCTGTAAACAAGGCCTAATAAGGGCGGGCGGGTGTGAAAAAGCCCTGTCTCGGAAGCCCTAATGATCTGGCTTGATGGCGGAGGGAACCCTTTTTATCGTGTCGTTTTCGCAGTCCCTTTGCCTTCCCCTCCCTTCCCCCCCACCTTTGGCTTCTCATTCCCCCTCTCTGCATTCTCCTTCTTCTTGTCCCTCCCCCTTTCCCTTCTCCTTGCCTTCTCCCCCTTTGCCTTCTCATCCCCCCTTATTCGCATTCTCCTCCTCCCCTCCCCATCCCCTTCTCCTTGCCCCCTCCCCCATTCCCTTCTCTTTCCCTTCCCCCTCTCCCCACTCCTCCTCCTTCCCCCCTCCCCCCTTTCCCCATTCCCTTCTCCTTCCCCTACCCCCTTTCCCATTCCCTTCTCCTTCCCCCCTCCCCCTATCTCCTTCCTTTCCTTCTTTTGCCCCCTCCCCTCCCCCCCCCGTCCCTTCCCTCCCTCCTTTCTTCCTTCCTTCCTTCCCGCTCACTCCCTCCCTTCCTCCTCCTCCTCTTCTCCCTCACCTCCCTCCTTTGAAACCCTCCTCTCCCCCCTTCCTCCCCCTCCCTCCCTCCCTACCCCTCCTTCCTTTCTTCACGGCCCTCCCTCCTTCCTCCCTCCTTTCTTCACTCCCTCCCTCCCCCTTCCCTCCATGGTCCTTCACTCCCTCCCCCCCCCCCTCCCTACCCCTTCCTCTCGCAAAATTCCCTCATGTGTTATCGGAATCTGACAGTTATATAATATAAGTTATTTGCGAGTTATTCTTTCGCTCGCAGTCTAAGATATCATCATTTTATTTATGGGAAGAAAGTGTGTGAAGAGAGGCCATTGTTTACCTTGTATGTCAAGTATTGTTATTGTTTTTGTGTTTTTGCTTTGTCATCTGCTGATCACATGTGTGTTTTTATGTATGTATGTATGTACGTATGTATTTGTATATATATGTGTGTGTGCGAGTGTGTGTGTGTGTGTGTGTGTGTGTGTGTGTGTGTGTGTGTGGTGTGTGTGTGTGTGTGTGTGTGTGTTGTGTGTGTGTGTGTGTGTGTGTGTGTGTGTGTTGGTGTGTGTATGTATGTTTTTATTATGTATAACATGTATACACCCTCTTAAGCATTTATATGTCCTAACCGTTCACTCATTTATTACCCTTTCCTTGTCTCCATTTTCCTTCGCTGTCCATCTTCTTCCTCCCTCATCTTGTTCTCTTTTATTGTCCTCCTCCCCCTCAGTCTCTCACCCCTCCCTCCCTGCCTCTCCCTCTTCCTTCTCATTTTGTAACCCCCTCCCCCCCCCCTTTTTCCCCATCTTTTAGTCCTTCTCCTCTGATTACCTTCTTCCTGCTACTTCTTCTTCGTCCTGGCTTATCTTGGTTTATGATCTCTGCCCTCCCTTCTTTCACTCTTTTCCGCTCCTCCCCACTTCTTCTTCTCCTTTTCCCTACTTCCTTCACTTTCCCCTCTCTCTCTCTCTCTCTGTCTATCTGTCTCTCTCTTTCCCTCTCTCTCTCTCTCTCTCTCTCTCTCTCTCTCTCTCTCTCTCTCTCTCTCCTCTCTCTCTCTCTCTCTCTCTCTCTCTTCTCTCCTCTCTCTGTCTCTGTCTCTGTCTTCTGTCTCTCTCTCTCTCTCTCTCTCTCTCTCTCTCTCTCTCTCTCTCTCTCTCTCTCTCTCTCTCTCTCTCTCTCTCTCTCTCTCTCTCTCTTCTCTCTCTCTCTCTCTCTCTCTCTCTCTCTCTTTCTCTCTCTCTCTCTCTCTCTCTCTCTCTCTCTCTCCTGTTTGTCTGTCTGTCTCTCTCTCTCTCTGTCTTCTCTGTCTTCTCTCTCTCTCTCTCTCTCTCTCTCTCTCTCTCTCTCTCTCTCTCTCGCTCTCTCTCTTCTCTCTCTCCTCTCTCTCTCTCTCTCTCTCTCTCTCTCTTCAGTATTTATCGTGGACTTCCTGTTTCCGGCGTCCGCTTGGGTTTTTGTTCGTGGGGGGGGAGGGGGAGGTGGGGGGTTGGGTGGGGATTGCGTGTGTTGGGTTTATCATTTAGCTTCTTGTAGTTTGTATTACATTTTTTTATATATTATTATTTTTATTACATTTTTGAAGGGTGTTATTTTTCCATTTGGGTTTTGGTTTTAGTTTCATTATTTTCTGCGTATATTCGCTTTTTTTAATCATTTTTTTTTTCTCCAGTGATGTTTTGAGTTTTTATTTAGTTTTGAAGGTTATTTGGAATTTTATGATGTGTCTTTCGTGTATTTTTATTTTGTCATTATTATTATTTTTTTTTTTGTACCTTTTTGCTTTTATGTGTGATAGGAATAGCTGTACATATTACAGGGACTTTGTACTATGTTGACCTCTTTACTAATTTCTCCTCCTCTTTCTATTTCTATTTCTGTCTTCTTTTCTTTGTCTTTTTCTTTATATGTCTTTCCCTTTCCCCTTCTCCTCTTCCTTCTCATTATCATCCTCATATTCATTTTTACTCTTCATCCTTCTCATCCCGTCGTCGTCCTCCTCTTTTTCTTCTTCTCCTCCCCCTCTCCCATTCCTCTTCCCCTCTCCTGTCTCCCTCCTTCCCTCTACTTCTACCATCAGCAAAAAAATACCCCCTTTTGACCGAACTGGTCTTCCTTCCCCTCAGCTGAACTCCTCCTCCTCCCCCTCCCCCTCTCCCTTCCTCTTCCCCCACCCCTCCTATTCCCCTCCTTCCTTCTCTTCCACCATCAGCAAACTTCCCCCCCCCCTTTGACCGACCTCGTCCTCTTTCCCCTCAGCTTTAACTCCTCTCCTCCTCTTCCTCTATTCCCCTCCTTTTTCCCTCCTCCTCCTTCCCCCCCTATTCTCTCCCCCCCCAAAAAAAAAGCTTCCCCCTCTGACCGCCCTCGCCTTCCTTCCCCGCAGCCCGAACTCCTCCTCCTCCTCCTTTCCCTCCTCTTCCTCCTCCCTTTCCCTCCTCCTCGCTTATTCCCTGTTCCCTCCTCCTCCTCCCTATTCTTCAAAAAGAAGGAAAAAAATACTTCCCCCTCTGACCGCCCTCTCCTCCTCCCCGCAGCTGAACTCCTCCTCCTCCTCCTCCTCCTCCTCCCTTTCCCTCCTCGCTTATTTCCTGTTTTCCCTCCTCCCTATTCTTCTTCTTAAAAAAAAAAAAAAAAAAAAAAAAAAAAAAAAAAAACCCTCTGACCTCCCTCGCCCTCCTCCCCCCGCAGCTGATCTCCTCCTCCTTTCCCTCCTCCCTATTTCCCTTCTTTCCCTCCTCCTCCTCCTCCCCCTATTCTCTCCCCCAAAAAAACTCCTCCTTCTCCCCCCTATTGCCCCCCTTCAAAAAAAAAAAAAAAAAAAAAAAAAAAAAAAAAAAAAAAAACTCCCCCCCTGACCTCCCTCGCCCTCCTCCCCCGCAGCTGAACTACGTGACCTCGTGGCTGGACGGCAACTTCGTCTACAGCACCAGCGAGGCGAGGCTCAACATGCTGCGCTCCTTCAGCAACGGCACCTTCCGCACGGACCCCGACGACCCCAGCCTCCCGCCGAGGAACGTCGAGCGGATCCCCATGGAGAACAACCCGACGCCGCACGTGCTCAAGATCCTCAGCCCCGAGAGAATGTTCTGTGAGTCGGGGGCTCTCTCTTTTTTTTTTTTTTTTTTTTTTTTTTTTTTTTTTTTTTTTTTTTTTTTTTTTGGGGTGGGGTGGGGGGGGAGGATAGGGGGGGGAAGGGGAAAGAAAGGAAGCAGGGAGGGAGGGAGGAGGAAGGGGAGAGGACAGGGAGGGGGAAGGAGGGAGAGGGGAGAGGGGGAAGGGAGAGGGAGAGGGAAAGGGAGGAGGAAGGTTTTAAGGAAGGAGGGAGGGAGTGAGGGAGGGGTGTAGTAGGGTGAAGGGGAAGGGGGAGGGTTTTAGGGTATGGGATGGGAGAGGGAAGGAGAAGGAAGGAAGAGGAGAAGGGAAGGGAAGGGGATTGGGGTGGGGGAAGGGAAGGGGTTGGGGGAAGGAAGGAGAAGGGTTTGGGAATAGAGAAAGGGAGGGTGGTGGTGGGGATGGTTGAAGAAGGTGTGTAGGGGGAGAGGGAAGGGTAAAGGGATGGGTTTGGAAGGGGATGGGGAGGGAAGTGTAGGGAGGGAAGGGGTTGGGAAGGAAAAGGGATAGGAAAGGGAAGGGGGAAGGGGAGCGGAAAGGAAAGAAGGGAAGGGAAGAGAAGAGAAGAGAAGAAGGAAGAGAAGGGGAGGGATTGGGGGGATTGGGGAGAGGAGGGGAGGGGAGGGGTTTTGGTGTATGATCTAGAAATGGACATGGTTAGACATAACTTTTGATGGGCGTGGATCTGAGTGGATATACGTGTCCAAATAGAATCCACGAAAATACATTATAAACCGTATTTCCCTTCAGATACACAGACAAAAAAACATAAAGATGATAAGATTAATAATAATAACGATAAACATAAATAACGAACAATAACCAGATGACTGGACTTTCTATATAATGATAGATTAATAATAACGATAAACAGAAATAACAATAACCAGATGACTAACGAGGACTTTCTCCCTCCGCCGCCCCATATAAATGATAAGATTCATAATAATAACGAAAATAAATAACTAACAATAACCAGATGACTAACGGGACTTTCCCTCATATAAATGATAAGATTCATAATAATAACGATAAACAGAAATAACGAACAATAACCAGATATACTAACGAAGGACTTTCTCCCTCCGCCTGCCCCATATAAATGATAAGATTAATAATAATAACGATAACCAGAAATAACAAAAAATAAACAGATATACTAACGAAGGACTTTCTCCCTCCGCCTGCCCCATATAAATGATAAGATTAATAATAATAACGATAACCAGAAATAACGAACAATAACCAGATATAATAACGAAGGACTTTCTCCCTCCGCCTGCCCCATATAAATGATAAGATTCATAATAATAACGATAAACAGAAATAACGAACAATAACCAGATGACTAACGAGGGACTTTCTCCCTCCCCTGCCCCATATAAATGATAAGATTAATAATAATAACGATAAACAGAAATAACGAACAATAACCAGATGACTAACGAAGGACTTTCTCCCTCCGCCTGCCCCATATAAATGATAAGATTAATAATAATAACGATAACCAGAAATAACAAAAAATAAACAGATATACTAACGAAGGACTTTCTCCCTCCGCCTGCCCCATATAAATGATAAGATTAATAATAATAACGATAAACAGAAATAACGAACAATAACCAGATATAATAACGAAGGACTTTCTCCCTCCGCCTGCCCCATATAAATGATAAGATTCATAATAATAACGATAAACAGAAATAACGAACAATAACCAGATATAATAACGAAGGACTTTCTCCCTCCGCCTGCCCCATATAAATGATAAGATTAATAATAATAACGATAAACAGAAATAACGAACAATAACCAGATGACTAACGAGGGACTTTCTCCCTCCGCCTGCCCCATATAAATGATAAGATTAATAATAATAACGATAACCAGAAATAACAAAAAATAAACAGATATACTAACGAAGGACTTTCTCCCTCCGCCTGCCCCATATAAATGATAAGATTAATAATAATAACGATAACCAGAAATAACAAAAAATAAACAGATGACTAACGAGGGACTTTCTCACATATAAATGATAAGATTAATAATAATAACGATAAACAGAAATAACGAGCAATAACCAGATGACTAACGAGGGACTTTCTCCCTCCGCCTGCCCCATATAAATGATAAGATTAATAATAATAACGATAAACAGAAATAACGAGCAATAACCAGATATACTAACGAAGGACTTTCTCCCTCCGCCTGCGCCTCCTCCAGTGCTCGGCGACCAGAGGACCAACCAGAACCCGGCTCTCCTCGCCTTCGGCATCCTCTTCTTCCGCTGGCACAACGAGCAGGCGCGCAGGATCCAGGAGCAGCACCCGGACTGGAAGGACGAGGAGGTCTTCCAGAAGGCGCGGAGGATCGTCGTCGCCCATCTGCAGGTGGGTTGGCTTTGGGGGGGAGGAGGGAGAGGGAAGGGAAGGAGAGGAGGAAGAGGGGAAGGAGGTGGGTTTGGTTTGGGGGAGGAGGAGGGAAGGACGAGGAGGTCTTCCAGAAGGCGCGGAGATCTCGTCGTCCCATCTGCAGGTGGGTTGGTTTGGGGAGGAGGGGGGGAGGGAGGGAAGAGAGGAGGAGGAGGAGAGGGAAGGAGGTGGGTTGGTTTGGGGGGAGGAGGAGGGAAGGACGAGGAGGTCTTCCAGAAGGCGCGGAGGATCGTCGTCGCCCCATCTGCAGGTGGGTTGGCTTTGGGGGGGAGGAGGAGAGGGGAGGGAAGGAGGGGGAGGAGGGAGGGAGGAGAGGGAAGGAGAGAGGGAGGGGAAGGGAGGAGGAGAGGGAGGGGTTTGGGGAGGAGGAGAGGAGAGAGAGAGAGAATGGAGGAAAGAAAAGAAGAAAAAAAGAAAAAGAAAAAAAAAGAAGATTAAGGGAAAGAAAGAAGAGAGAGAGAGAGAGAGAGAGAAAAGAGAAAGAGAAAGAGAAAGAGAAAGAAAGAGAAAGAGAAAGAGAAAAGAAAAGAGAAAGAAGAAGAGAGAGAGAGAGAGAGAGAGAGAAATAAAAAGAGAAAGAAAGAAAATAAGATAAAAAAAAGAATCAGAGAACGAGAAAAGGACGAAGTGAAGCCAATAGAAGGGAGACGCCTTGGGCTCATGAGATGCTGTCAGGGAGATAAAGATGAGGAATATTTCGGGTACGTTGATAAAGAAGAGAAAGGAGTGTGAAAGGATCCGGGCGCCATTAAAGATAATGACATACACAGATCAGAGCGCTACTTTCACGTTCGCTAAAGGAAACAAGGACTCCAGCTGCAACAGCAACAACATCAACAACAGCAATAACATCAACAACAACAACAACATCATCAATATCATTATCAATATCAACAAAACAACAACAACAGCAATAACAATAACAACATCAACATTAACAACAACAACAACAAACAACACAATAACAACAGCAACAGCAATAACAACAACAACAGCAATAACAACATCAACATTAACAACAACAACAATAACATCAACATCAACATCAACAAAACAACAACAGCAATAACAACAACAACAGCAATAACATCAAAACAACAACAACAACAACAGCAACAGCAACAGCAGTTGCAGTGGTCATAATCTTTGGAATTTTTTCATAGTTTTGCAGTCGTTATATATGTTAATATCGCAGATTTTGTTTAAGAGGTGGTAATATTTTTGAACGTGAAATCGAGCTAGAGAAAGAAGGAAGAGAGGAAAAGCAAAAAAAAAAAAAATATATATATATGAATGAAAAAGGGGAGAAAGATAGATATCAAAATGATAGCGAATTATGGATGACTTACATATTCTCTCCCGAATGAGGTACGACATATATATGTATATAGTCGTTGCTACAGAGACACTCCATCTTAAGAATTAAAAATAACGACTCCACAACCCGGACGACGTCGAATGCGTCTCAAAACGTCGTCTCTCTCGCTCGACTTAATCTCAGGACGTCGTTTTTCACTGGCCGCCGCGTGACGTCGTCGAGGGCCCCCTTCCGTCCGCCGAAACTCCGTCAGGTGTGAGAGGTCGTTGCCTTAGTGTAAAGGTGCTGTCACACTAGCGTTTTTCCGTCAATTTTTCGAAAATTTTCTGATTGTTTTTCTCCATTTTTGAGTGAATTGTCGATTTTCCAGTCAGAAGATAATGATCGTTTCCGTTTGAAAACCTTTCCGTCAACTTTTTTTTTTCAGCCAAGCATAGTCAAACCAAGAGCTATATTCGAGAATGTTTGTGTTTATGTTAAATGAAATTGTCAAAAATTTGACGGAAAAAGTGCTAGTGTGACAGCGCCTTAAGTGGTCTGCGCCTGGCTGATCAAAGTGTTTTAGAGGACGCGAGAAGCACTTTTTTCGCGGGAGGGAAATAAGGGTCCTTCCTTCCTCCTAAACTCTGTAAGATGTAAGAGCTTTTGCCTTATTAAGCTTTGCCTGCGTCCTTCCTTCCTCCTAAACTCTGTAAGATGTAAGAGCTTTTGCCTTATTAAGTGGTCTGCGGGAGGGAAATAGGGGTCCTTCCTTCCTCCTAAACTCCGCCAGATATAAGAGCTTTTGCCTTATTAAGTGGTCTGCGGGAGGGAAATAGGGGCCCTTCCTTCCTCCTAAACTCAGACGTTGGAGCTTTTGCCTTAGTAAGTGGTCAGCGGGAGGGAAATAAGGGCCCTTCCTTCCTCCTAAACTCAGACGTCAGAGCTTTTGCCTTATTTTAAGTGGTCTGCGTTTAAGAACACAAGGAACACTTGTTTTGCGGGAGGGAAATAGGGGTCCTTCCTTCCTCCCAAACTCCACCAGATATAAGAACTTTTGCCCTATTAAGTGGTCTGCGTTTTAGGACACAAGGAACACTCTTTCTTACTGCGGGAGAGAGAAATTACTAGCGCGTTGACTATTACACAACCCAGCGTCCACTAGGCCGTAGCGTCATGGCGGGTCGCGAGTGGGCGTCCAATGCGCGCCGGAGGGACCCACCGCGGCGCCCACTTGTCGCTCCTCCTCCTCCTCCTCCGCCGGAAGGAAGGAAGGAAGGAAGGAAGGAAGAGGTCGCGGCGCCGCTTCTTTGGGGCGGGAGGGATAGGGGGAGGGGGGATAGGGGGAGAGAGGGAGGGGGAGGATACACTTCTTTGGGGCGGGGAGGGATAGGGGGGTGAAGGAGGGAGGGGGAGGGGGGAGGATATCTATATTAGAGCTCTTTTGTTTCCTTCTGGGAGTGGTAGGATTTGTTTTTTATTTGTTTATCTATTTTTTTTTATCTGTTGATTGTTATACTACTGTTGTTATTATTGTTATTGTTTTGTTATTGTTATCATTACTTTATTATTATTATTATTATTATTATTATTATTATTGTTGTTATTGTTGTTATTGTTATTGCTATTGTTGTTATTGTTTTATTATCTTTATCATTAATCATTATTATTATGAAGATATGATTTTGATGAAGGGGATTTTAATGATGATTATTTTGATGATGATGATGATTAATATTATTGATGTTGATATTGTCATTACTACTAGTACCATAATTATCATGATTATTGCTATGATAATGTTTATCACTCTTATCATTATGATTTTTTAAAAATTATATTTGGAGTTTTGATATGTAACAGAAAACGGCAAGTAGAAGGGAAGGGGGACTCAATTAAAATGTGAAAAGAGCGCATAATTTTTTTAAAATCTCTAATTATGAAAGATAATGATAGTTTTTGGTCTCGAAGCTCAGCATGATGAATGCCCGTAATAGAGGGGGAGACGAGAGGAAATGTTACGCAGATGGGAACAGAAGAATTTCCGGAGAAGGGAAAGGAGAGGAAAATGTGAAGGGCGAAGGAGGCTGAAGAGATTGAGAAAATGTTTTGATGTGAAGGTCGGGCGCAAGATGGCGGACGGGACGGCGGGGGAGGGGGGGGGTTGCCAGCCCGAGGCGCTCCCTTCGCCCTCGGAAAGGGGTCGGGTGCTGGTGTTGCATCGGGTGTTTTTTTTTTTTTTTTTTTTGAGGAGTGTCGGTTCCCCCTCCCCCCCCCCTTTTTTTTCGGTCGTCCGGATGGAAATGGGGGGAGTGTCAGGCTGGATTCTGTTGTTTTTTTTCTAAGGCGGTGGGATAGGGGGTGTCAGCCTAGCGTCAGCCTTGCCCCCTCCACCCTCCTTTCCCCGCATGAATAGGGAAGCGTCAGCCTAGCGTCAGCCTAGCCCCCCCACCCCCCACCCCCCTTTCCCCGGCAAGGAATAGAGAAGTGTCAGCCTAGCCCCCCTCCCCTCCCCCCATTCCCCACCAATGGAATAATGAAGTGTCAGCCAACCCCCCCCCCCCCCCATTTCCCCGCCAATGAACAATGAAGTGTCAGCCTAGCCCCCCCACCCCCACCCCACCCCCCTTTCCCCGCATGGAATAGAGAAGTGTCAGCCTACCCCCCCACCCCCACCCCACCCCCCTTTCCCCGGCATGGAATAATGAAGTGTCAGCCAAGCCCCCCCCCCCATTTCCCCGCCAATGGAACAATGAATGTCAGCTCAGTCCCGTTCCTCTAGCTGAGACTGACAGACTGACTGCCAAGCCTCCCGGAGAAACGAATCGCCACAGATAGCGATACCCGCTCTCCCGCACCGCCTGGCGAGTCGACCCGGGCGTCAGCACACACGCTGACACTCGGTTCAAAGCCCCAAAGAGCTCCGCTGATGCCTCGCAATCGGAGAAATTGATTGCTGACGAGAACGGCATGACTGTTGCCGATAAGATGCTCATTGTCTAGCAGGAGGTGTCAGCTGTGATGGAGCAGGAGGTGTCAGCTGTGATGGAGAGGGGGGGGGGGGAGGTAGAGATTTATTGTCGCACTGTATGCTAATGGGGACTCGTGCATTGGGGGGGTGGGGGTGGTGGGTGGGGTATGAGGGAGGAGCCTCTTCTGTCGTCTCGTTTGTTTATCATTTTTTCTTTCTTCTTGTCCATTCTCTTTGCGTCTTTTTCTTTTTTTCTGTCTCTTTATTTCTCTCTTTTTTTCTCTTTCTTTCTCTTACATTCTCTTTGCATCCTTTTCTTTTCTTTTTGCTGTCTCTGTATTTCTCTTTTTCTTTCTTCTTCCATTCTTATTGTGCCTCTTGTCTTTTCTTTTTTCTGTTCTTTATTTCTCTCTTCTCTTTCTTCTCTTCCATTCTCATTGCTTCCCTTCCTTTTTCCTGTAATACTTTTTTTCTCTCCGTCACTCTCCTTCTTCTCTCTTTTCTCTCCCTTCTACCTGTCTCCTCTTTCTCTCTCTATTTCGCTTTTCCTCTCTCATCTCTTCTCCATTTTCTATCTCCCTTCCCTCTTGCTCCGTTTTCTCCCTCTCCCTTTCCTCTGTTTTTTTCTATTCTCTCTATCATCCCCTCTCCTCCTCCTCCTTCTTACTGCCCTTTCCCTCACCTCTTCCT